AAAAAAAAAAATGTATTGTCAATTTTAATGTTTTATTTAGATTACAAAAATTATTTATGATGTATTAAAAAATAAGACTGATTTAAGACATTTTAATACCAATTAAGGTCTTTAAAAATTATTTCATGTCTTCCTGATAGTTTTGGAATTAATGCTGAAACAATTAATCGAATGAATTAGTTATTAAATAATTGTCAACTAATTTAGAAATAGATTAATTGTTAACTAGACTGTAAAACATGCCTTTAGCTGACAGAGCAGCAATTATACATAAATTGTAAAAAAAATAAAAATAAATGAGCTTAACAATATCAATAAGCCTATCCGGAACTCCTCAAGTGGAAATGTTTTAGTTTCACCCGTTTTAATTTCATTAAAAAATCTTTAAGGAATCTTTAGCTAGCCGATAATTAATAGATTAATCGAAAAACTAATTGAAGGATTAATTTATTTTGACTTAGACAGACTTGTCATTTTGTAAACACACAGTGTATACAAAAAAAATTCATTTAGTACAACTCTCAAGACATTTCCATTTTTAAAGTGCACCAGTGATAAAATGTAAACATAAGACGGGCATATTTGCCAAATAATCGTTAATTGCAGCCCCAGATTGAACTATATTTTTGTTTCCAGCAGCTTGTGGTGAAACTAAAATAAGAAACCTTTAACTTTGGTATCGTACAAATGTCCCCCCGACTCATCAGTGACGGATGCATTGACGAGTTTAGAGCATTGAAACATATAAATATGTTTAATAATTTCACAATAAACACGTGTATTTGTGTATTTTGAGAAGCAAAACAATTCAAGTTGAACATAAGAACGATAGAATAAATAAAGGAGAAAAGGATAAAAAGGACTGAATGGAAAACTGAGTTTTAGGCCAACAAAGTGGTAAAATAAGACAAGTTCTTTGAACAAAGGGCTGCTTTGAGTGGGTGAGTCAGACTAGTTCGATAGCTCGCCTGAGGGCCAGATGAAACTAAGCATTTATTTCCTTTGGCTTAGCAGCAGCTCCACAGAGCAAACAGAGATAAAAAATCAACCACTATGGTTTCATTTAACTGATATAAAAACACTCAAACATATAAATAAAACATCTCAATGAAAGACAGAAAAATAAGCAGTTGTCATTACTACACATGGCAGCAGCCAAACATCGAACAGACGGACGGTCAATCATTGGAGCATTTCAACTATAAAAAACTAAAATAACGCTCCAGCTTTGGCTAAAAGAGCAGCACTAACGTTTGTTTAGAAAATGAACTTTTAACAACTAATATATCAATGTTAGAAATCTCTAGCTGGGGGGCTCCAATGCTTTATGATGTGCGCCATCCTCAACAAAAGCAAAAAGGTTGCATGGCAGGCATAATGCTGCAAATTTAAATAAATGAATGAATCATAATGAATATAATAGGGTTTTATTAGAGGGCCTGCCACCCACTACGCTGTCTGAATGACATGACTCTGAACTAAGAGCAAAAAAAAACATAATCCTGATATCCCAAAAAGAAAAAAAAAAAATAGACAAAAACAGTTAATTTAATTAATTGGTTAAATTATTAACTATTTATTCCCTGGCGACTTTTACAAAATTAGGATATTATATTAACAAAAATCCTAAATTTCATTTTGTTTAAAAAGTTTATGACTTTGCCTTTTTAAGTTCTTTGTTGTTTCACACGTTTTAATAACAACTGAATAACCAACCTTAAACGGGGGTGGGGGGGCTCAGATTCCAGCTTTCAAAAACCTAAAATGCAGCAATTGAGTTGATTCCTTCCCGCTATGATCGCAACCCCAACAGAAGAACAGAAGAGCGCGCCTGTTCATCCAGGCCAACAATTCCCTCTAACGACCCCCCTTTCAGAGACATACACAGGTATGGGGCATTGCAGGCTAACAAAGACGCCAAACGACCCCCATTCCAAAGGGGGGGACCCGTTCATCCGTTTCTATTTGCAGGTTTTCTAAACTAAAACCAGGCTTAGTTGGGCTGCTGGATAAAACCTGGAACTCAACGCTATTTCTGACATTTTGAATTGAAAAATCTTCCTGGATGGAAGAGAAACCTCTTCAAACTTTTTTTTTTACTTTTTTGGAATGACCGTGACCTGGATGACTGAGAATCTTCACCAGCATAATCTTTTGCTATCTGATTATCGTCAATTAATCGGAAAAATAAGCAAAAGATGAATTGACAGGGAAAATAATCGTAAGACTTGTGATACAAAAAAAAAAAAAAAAAAAATCAGGGTTTTAAGAAAATAGCTGCTTATGAACTAGGGATGCACAATATAATGGGCCCCCTATTGGTATCGGCCTTAAAACTGAATATCGGACATCGGCCACCTCACCGATATTTAACCCGATATTTGATCAGCTTCTGAGTTTCTAAAGTCTAAAAAAAAAATAAAAATACTACTTCTTCTTCCTCAAAAAC